CTTTAAAAATTACGTCCGGGTCGTGCGCCATTTCGCTACTATCGAATAAACTATTTAAATTAAAATCTATATCTCTATTCAAATCTACTCTACAATGTCTATTGGACTTGCTACGCGATGTAGTGTCCTTAGAACCCGATTAACGTGGGTGGAAAATCTTGAAAGGATAGGTATAACACACTACAGGAAAAGCAACACACAAAAGAAAGATTCAATAGTACTTACAGAAACTTCATGTCAGTTACTCTGCGGCGTGGTCTCAGGTTCAGGATCCTAGGTCAAAGCTAGATAGCTAGACGGGCTACGTTTCGGAAATCCTGTCCGCGTGTGCGTCCCGAGAATCCTACCGACTGCGCCAATTAAATGAGCCACAGCCGAAGTATCGAAAAAAAAATGATTTATTCAAGAATAAAAATTACAATATTACTTATTACTAATTAAACTATTGACCCTATCGATGCTTGAATAGAAGTGGCCGAGTCGATGCCTGCAGTCCGGCGCCCCGACGGTGACACGTTCCGCTGCATCAGCTCCTCGTGCCAGCAATTTACGTCAATCGGTTGTTTGTTGAAATTAAATTGGGGACAGCTCTTCGTCAGCGTTTCCGGTAGTGAGTGACGGCGTAACATGTACACAAACCAAAAATATTATCAGAAAGTAAATAAATGTCTAGTCCACAAAGCATCGTCTCAGTAAGTACAGATTCATTATGGCATCACTAAATGCATCCTTATTCGTAACTGTTCGTAACATCGTATCATGTATAGATACTGCTAAATCTCGAACGTTGTCACCCGTAACCGCTCGTTCAATATTTTTAAAGAGTTCTCATACGTTTGGCAACTCTGCGTGGTGCGGCCTCGCCCGCAATAACACAGATCGTGGGTCAGAGCCTTTACAAGTATAAATCAATTATTTACTTCACGTATTTTAGTTATCCAACAAGTTTGATGCAACTATAGTGTACTACATGTTTTATACATGTATATGTGTGAACAAAAATTACAAAAGACATTGTAAAAATCGTTAAATACAATTATACCTTGGTGTAAACGAGTGTTTACATGTTTTTTTTTTTAAACCTGATATCATGCCAGGTTTTAGCAAATACCTGTGACATAATCAGAGACTTTTTATATCTTATTATATATTTTGTATCTTATTTATTTCTAATTAACATCCGTAAGTGTAGATATATATATTGATGTATATTTTGTATTACTTATATTTTATTATTCGTAATTAATCATATTTTTAGCTTTTGTTTCTTGCCATTGCTGTTTTAACAATTTTGACATGTATACTAGTAACTGATTTCTTATATTTTTGTCTGCTATTATTGTATGTAAAGTTGTTTTGTCTATTTTATATTTTATTTTTGTTTGCAGATTCATCCGTTCCAATCTGTGGTTGGGGCATTCCGTTATAAGGTGGATGACTGTCTCTTCAACTCCAGGTTCACAAATACAATCCGGGCTGTCTTTTAATTTAAACCGATGTAGGTATTGAGCAAAACCACCGTGTCCTGTATGTGCCTGGCAGAGTAGGTTCGGTTTGTCGAACTACTTTATACGCCGTACGGACGTCTGGGAAGAACAGTTTCGTCGTACCCGCTGTTTCACTTTCATCATATCTATGCTGCCATGCGCTTAGCGATCGTTCTCTTATTAGCCTTTTGGTATGTGAAACAGGGCATAAATCGTACACCGGTGCCGTCTTCTTGTGTGCTGCTTCTTTTGCGAGTGTGTCAGCTCTCTCATTACCTTTTGTGCCGATGTGTGCTTTCATCCGTGCCAGATTTACTGTTTTGTTATTGTTCCTTAATTGTTCTAGATTGTTTTTAATTTTTATTACCAACGAGTGTAACATTTTGGCATTTTCTAAGGATTGTAGCGCGGATCTGGAGTCACTTAGTATTGTTACTTCCCTGTATTTATCACCTTTTATCAGCTCTGTGGCCATCAGTATAGCATATAATTCAGCCTGATACATCGAACAGTAGTCTGCCAGCTTGTATTTCCCAGTTTTGATTTCCTTTTCATCCATCCAAACAGATATAGCTGCTCCTACCTTATTATCATTCTTGCTGCCATCTGTGTAAATGTGGTGTCCTTTAATTTTATTCAGATTTTCTGGGCTTGTATTTTTAATTATTTCGAAACTGAAGCAGGTGTTTTGGGATGGATGGGGCAGAGTACTATGGGGTTGGCGTATTTCGATTTCTCGTCCTGGTAGTTCGTCAATTGTTCGTGTCCGTTTTGCGACATAGATTGCTGCAGCTTCTTTAATGCGTAGGTCCAGCGGTAAGAGTCCTGTCAAAATTAAAGCGGAATTTAAAGACGTCGTTCTATATGTTTTCGCAATCTTCTGTGCTATGCCTCTTTGAACGGTGTTTAGGTGTTTTTTGGTTTTAATTTTTTCCGCTGCTGGCTCCCACACGCTGGAGGCATATAAAATTATTGGTTCGACAACAGCGGTATATATAGATCGTACAATTTCTGGATTCAACCCCCATGTAGTTTTGGCCATTCTTGTTAGGTGTTTGTGGATATTTATTGCTTTTTTGCAGACGTTTCCTACATGAGAGTTGAATGTCAGTTTTGTGTCTATTGTCAGTCCCAGAATTTTTATTTCCTCCACACGAACAATCGGCTCTCCTCCCATGTGCAGAACTGGTAACTCATATTTAAATTTTTTAGTGAAAGTTGCAGCGTGGGTTTTTGCGGGCGCAAATTCCAATTTGTTATCTCTTCCCCATTGGTGCACGTGTGTGAGGATACGATTGGCCTTGTCTTGGATTTCGGCGGTGCTGTTGCCCCTGAACAGTAAAACTATATCGTCGGCAAAAGCCTGAGCGTACGCTCCCATGTTTTCAAGCTCTTCCAATAGAGGGTTCAATAAGAGATTCCAAAAAGTGGGTACGCCTATCGAACCCTGTACACATCCTTTTGTGGTTTGTAGTTCGCACTTCTGGTTCGCGTAGTTCAAGCTTACATTTCTGTCTTCGAAGTAGTTGTCTATTAATTTTCTTATATTTATAGGACAGCCTTTTTCCGCAAGCCTGAGTTTTATGATGGGCCACCACGCGGCATCGAAGGCGCCCTGTATGTCTAGTGATACGATGGTCACTATTTGTTTCCGAGTTATTCCATCGTTTATTTGTGTCATAAGATCAAACAGGGAGTCCTCCGTGCTTCTCTGCGGTGTGAACCCATATTATCTTTTGCTGATTTTTGGGAGTACATAATGATGTCGATTCTGGCATGATTCTCTAAAGCTAAACTTAAATTTGACAACAGTGCATCCTTGTCCTACTCTATACAGAATGAAAAGGTGAGACTGACCTTAAATTTAGTTTTAAGTTTAGAGAATCACGCCAGAATTGACACCACTATATATATTAATTTTTCATATATCTTTCCCAACACAGACAAGAGTCCTATGGGTCGGAAGGATTTAGGTTCGCTGTACGATGATTTCCCAGGTTTGCGTAAGTTTAATATTACTGCCCTTTTCCATGCCTTCGGGAAGCATGACAATTCGTGGCATTTATTAATTAATGAAAGATAGATGTCCACGTTTAGCACTATTGCCCTTGTGCAGATATCTGCTGTCAATCCATCTTCTCCCGGGGCCTTTGTGGGGTTGAATGTAGAAAAAACATGTTTTAGTTCTTCTTCTGTGAAGGGTGGGTCTGTACTGCTATTTTGATCGATTTTGTTTATTTCTTTTGCTTTATTCCTCATATATTTGTGTCGTTCGCTATCTTCTTCTTCGTTATCTTTCGGAAAGAAGGTTTTAGACATCCATTCCGCTGACTCAGTCGAGCTCAGTACTTTGTTTCCCTTTACAGAAATCTTTCCAGCTACTGGTTTGAGCTTTTGATACTTCTGTTAAATACTTTTCTCTAGCTTCCAAGTAATCCTGTATAACTAGAGATTTCCTGGATTCGGCTGCGCATCGGATACGACGTTTTTTGGTGGTCATATCACGTTTTAGCTCATGCAGTTCATCATTCCACCACGGAAGCAGTCCGGCTTTTATTCCTCTTTTTTCTTGGTATAGAGGATTCGCATGCTAACTTGATGCAGTCTGTGTATTCTTCTATTATTTGCTCTAGTTCATCTTTACTTTGTATCATTTCAAATCTTTCTTTAACTAATGTTTTTCTTGTAGTTATATTTAGGAATTCTGCGTTGAACTTCGACCATTTAGAATTCTTAGTATTATATATTCTGGTGCTTTTTCTCTTTATTATTGTGTTTATTCTTCCTATTTCTAAAGTAAATGTGATGGCATTGTGATCCGAACTTGTAATTCCATTGTCCACTTTCCAGTGTTTAATTTTTGAAATTAGTTGTTCTGTGCATGTCGTCACATCTACTATGCTTGTATATGATCTGCCTTCTCTAAATACCTCGAAAGTTGGCTCATCTCCCTCATTAAGAATGTGTAACTGTTTTTCTTCCAGGTATGCTGCCAATTCTGCTCCACGGTGGTCTTCGACTGCGCTGCCCCACCAGGTGCTCCACGCGTTCACATCGCCTCCTAGCAACACTTCGCATCCATCCAGTTCTTCGAGGATTACGGTAAGATCTTCAAGGTACGTATCCAGATTTTGATCCGGTGCAAAGTACACCGAAACAAGGGCTACTTTGCTATTATTTGTTCCTAAAATGATTATTGTTGTTATGTTTTCAGTTTGCAGTTTTGGATTTATTTCTATGTTTAGGTTATTATTAAAGACTATGATTGCTGATTTTACTGATTTGGTTCTGTTTTGTGTCTTTTGGATGACTCTTGTACCGGTGTACTTTTTCATTTCGCCTGATGATCCTACATACGGTTCCTGGACAAGTGCAATACAAGCCTTTCTGTTGATCGCTTCGCTTATTAAGTCCTGCGTAGCGATTCTTGCTCTTTGTAGATTGGCTTGAATAACGAGATGCTCCGTGCCTTCTTCTCGATTTATATTAGCATTTGTTGCAGTTGAGACAACCTTAGCAATAGGCAATAGCCTGCCGCGCTAATGCATCCCATTTTCTACGGATTGGACATGTGTTGTCGAAAGCGTTATGGTTTGTTTTCTCGAGCTTGGCTTCTCCGCAGTTTTTGCAACTTGGTTTTTCGTGCTTATTCCATTTTGGACAGTCAGCCTTCATGTGAGCCTCTCCGCAGTGAGAGCAAAGATTTTCTGGCTCTTTGCAGAGTTTCCGGCCATGGCCGTAGCCCAAGCACTTCGTTCACTGTACCAACGGTGATTGGTCCTCTACAACGCATTTTTGAAGATCGACGAATACCAAACCCGTGGAGGTTAGGTTTTGCCAGATCTTAGGCGAAACTTGTAGGACGATATGATTCTCGAGTGGATTTCTGGCCTTGCGGCGATAGCGGATTTCCATGCGGGATTCTTCAGCGGGAATGTGTTGCAGTACATTCTTATTTTGCCTTTTTAAAGCATTTATAACCTCTTCATCCGAATGGTATGATAATACATTCTTGATAATTACAAGTGGGTCTTTATTTTTAGCGACTTCAACTTTTAGCTCCTTACATCCTTCCTCGATCCTTTTAGTGATCATTTCGATTTCGTCCTTGCTGGAACAGCTAAGAACTACTTTTTGGTTCTTTGCCTTGCGGACCATTTCTACATGAAGTCCACTATTTTTTGCGTCTACGGCTGTGCGGATCTTAGTTAGGACTACTTCGCTGGTATCCTTCGTATCTTCCGAAGAGATTATCAGGCTGTGCGTAGGGTCAGTATTGCGTATGGGTGCGACTTGTTTAGGTGCCTGGAATTTTGGCTCCTTGGAGATAGCCGCTATTTCAGCATACGTTTTCCTGTCTTCTAGCAATATCTTTTTAATAGCTTTGACCTCTTGTAGGATTTTATCGTTATTTGGCTCAATCTCCTCTTTCGACTTTCCTTGCAACGAATTTCCTTGCTTTTCCATGTCTTTTATTATCTTGAACATACCTTCTAAGCTGTTCACCACTGTTTCTTTGATACTTCTCTTGAGGTTTCCTGACAGTTACATTTGCTCCATTGCGGCATCTAACATTTCCTTAGCTCTCCCCGAATATGTCTTTGCTGGTGTGTCCGTAGCTTGCGTGATCGCTTCCGCGAGGTTCCTGCACGCTTTTGGCTTCGGAGAGTTCGCCACGATGCTTACTGGAGTTGTCATTGATGGTGTTGCTCTTGTTTTATTGAGTACGACCCGTCATTTTTACCAGTTTTGGTTAAGTTAGGTTAGCCTTAGGTTAGGTTAGGGGTTAGGTTTTGAATTTCAAAACAACGTAATTTCTTTATCTTACAACCAAAATTAATGATTCAAACGATAACAAAAACCTTAGAAATCCTAATATTTTTCAGTTTTAGTAGTAACTGATTATTCTAAATATTTAAGTTTTTACACTAAAATAAACAAAATTGGTGAAAAAATTTTTAATTTTACTATTTAAAAATACTTAAAACTAGAGACATATAAAATTATTAACTTGAGTGGGTGGTGTTACTTATATTTAATAAATCTGAAAAGGAATTATGAAAATCTAACAAACAATGAAGTTATGAATTTTTTAAAATTTTATACAAAGTCACCCATACAATTTTAGTGACTAGGTATTTATCGCTCACTCGGATATCAAATGTGTACCCAGACGAGAGCAAACTAATGTGATATTAAAAACTAATTTAAAATGAAAAATGAAATTTTTATGAATTAATTAAAATTTAAAAAATTTTTATTCTATACAAAAGACATCAACGCGTGCAATGTTTACATTGATTTTACGTTTAGTATGAATTGCTACAAAAAGTGAAAAAATTTTATATTTTGAAAACTATTGAAACTAACTCGTATTTTTAAAACGGATTAAGGTCAAACAAAAAATCTAGTATGTGCCTACAAATTTTTAGGAGAATCGGGGTATTCTTAGCGTACGAAAAAGACCGTAGGGTTTACATGTTACACTGTAACGATATGAATTAAAAATTGAAACCTCAAAGATTTTTGGTTGCTCTAAATTGTGAAATTTACCAATTTATACTTATGCGTTGCAAAGGTAGTCTTTGAGAGCAGCGATGAATTAAACCCAGCAACTTCGTCATTAAGGGTTGCCAGTTGCCAAGTTCTCTGTGCATATGAAATTAAAATTATGTTTTTTAAAAACCAGCTTTTATTTATATGCGCTAAAAAGAAAAAGATTATATTTTCCTTAAAAACTTACTATGAACTTATAACGTCATTTGATTTACCTGTGTAGATAAAGAAAGTTTGATCGGATTGTTTTTTTTTTTAATTTTCATACTGTAACTATCAGGACCTAGTTAAATCTCTTGTTCATAGTAAAGTTTTAAAGGAAACATGTATTTTATTTGTTTTAGCGCATCCAAACAAAAGGTTGTCTTTAAACAAGTTTTTTACTTTTATTTATCATACCTAATAAGACCTAATCAAGAACTTCAAAACATCCATATTCTGAGCTAGCCTTTTCATTTCATATCCAATATGAGTATCTAGGATAGTATCGTAGGAGTGCATCAAAAATAACTAGTCCGCCATATTCTCAGCTGACCATGTATTGTCATCTAAAATAAAATGTGTGTCCCTACATTTCAGCTCGGTCAAATGAAAACATCTGCTTCAAAATTAAGTTGCAAGATTCCACCCGGACAAACATATGTTGCAAATTAAAGGTATTTAAAAACCAAGCATTGTAGTACTTTGCATAGAAATATAATTAAATCAATTTCAAATGATCGCTATGATTTTCCCATGAGATACTCATAAATACAGATAAATCTATGGAAACAGTCATAAATACCAGAAACCCAATAATGTTGATCCTCATCATCTCTTTTTGTGGTCTTGTAATGGGTGACCATGGAATCCCTTATCAGAGAATAATGCTATTTGACAATTTTTTTATGTTATTAAAATTAACCTTTATGTTACTGCATTTTTGCAGTTGGGTTGGTAATAAAACACAAACACTTTTTTATAGTTATATTTAGGTACTTATTTCAAATCATATCACAGAATAGTAACAGGTAAGATAATTTGCTTGATAGTATTCTATCCAAGAGTCCCTGCAACATTTTTCCCAGGTGATCCTCAACAATATCTATTAATATATCCAAACACATATTGGATGGTCGAAAGTAATTTCAAACAACAACCACAAAATTTCCTTCAGTACCTATATTTTGTTGAATAATCTTTTGGAGAGACAACTAAACCACGTCCCTTACGAGCTCCACGGTATACAGTCTCTATTATGTCGATCATTTCCTGCTTATCCTCTAGTGGCCAGTTTATCTTGTTGTTGTTGCCAGTGCCAAGATCAATCATTATGTGTTTATTGCGGAAAAAGAACATCACTGTGCATGGGTCGTACAATTCATACCTGCAAAAGCTTATAACCTTAGTAATCATAATGTATAGAAACCAGTTCATTGAATCATTAAACATATATAAGTAATTATAATATGATGAGGTACTTTACATTTTGTTGAAGTCTGGCACTTCTGTGATGTCAACGAGATATATGACAGCAAAGTTTTTTACTTTCTCTGCTATGCTGTACAGAACTTCATCCATTTTCATACAAGTTGGGTCCCAATCATGTCCAAATCTAATAACCTACAAGCACATGTGAAAATATTAGTTGTTTGGTATAATAAACAAGTTCACATACTTGGTTTTAAATTAAGAAAATGGTAATACATAAATAAAACAAAGCTTCAACTGTTTGACGTTTCATTTAATGAATGGTGTGCGTGAAAACCTTAAGAGACAAATATGGTTTAAACCTATATTCAATTGAACTAGGTAATTGACTATGAGTTTAAAACAATGTATAGTTAAAGAATTGCTCAAAACCGATAACAACTGTTAAACGCAAAGACTTAGCTATAACAGCTATTTTCACATCTTTGGCAAACTGGACTAAACTTATACAAACTATATAATATATATATGAATGTTCAGGTTTCACGAAAATTATGAACACAGTAAACTTTAAGTTTATTTTTAATAATATAATACATCATGAAAACGCTGAGGCCAGAGAATATTAATTATTTACCCCAAAAGTTTCATAACCTCTACTTACCACTACACGATCTTCTTCCGATAAAATTGCCTGATCAACTTGCCAACCATTATGTAAATGTCCCAGCATATAACTCATGGTTGTATGTAATTTAGTTACGGATCAATGGATAAACTCTGAAGATAAATAAAATTAAAACCAGTAAAAAAGTACTCTCGTTAGTTGCGAATTTGACAGCTTGCTTTAGCGATGCGCGACTTCGAATAATAATACTAATCATTCGACCAGTGTTGCCAACTCGGATTTTGAAAAAGGCGTAGGCCCGATGAGAAAATTACGTAGATTTAGTATTTTTTGCATATGAAAAGTACGTAGATCTACGTACTTTTTTCTGAGTGAAATGAAGAAGTCAGGTGAAACCGAATGAAACGAGTATTTTGTTATACAATTTCTTTAAAAACGGGAGATAGAACAAAGAGTTCTTGGAGAAATCGCTGCATTGGAAGCATTTACCATGCTGCGGTAGACCATGACCATGTGGTATTAAAAAACCATGATTTCTAATAGATCACATGAAAAATAGAGTTAGTTATCATAATACACTTGGTAAAAGACTCTAGAAAGTTGTGGTTAAAATTGCCAAGGGAAATAATACATACACTTATACATGAACACATGTTAAAAACTTACTAATTCCTGTAACTTTATCGACTGAAAGTCATTTCTTTTTGCAAACATCAATTCGATGTAAGTACTCATTGAATAATATTTAAAGTTTAAAAAATCACTTTTTAAGGTTACGAATGTACCTACTAAGTCAAAGAGTTTTGTCGTTTCTCCTTTCACAAATCCTGCGTCCAGCATTAATTTAGTCAACAAAACCAATGACGGGAACCTTTTCTACAAGTTAAAAGAGTTTTTAGATACATCTTTATAAGAAATAAACATTTTTATAGTTTTTAATTAAAGTAACGGAAAATATTCTTCTTTATTCTAGTGAATTATTAAATTTTACAAATTTGAAAAAATTAAAGAAAATACGTAGATTCTGGGACTAAAGTTAGTAGGTTTGCAGAAAAGGCCTAAAATACGTAGATCTACGTAAAAAGACGTAGAGTTGGCAACACTGCATTCGACTCCACGAATCATTGCGCTTTATATTATTCGACTGGAGTCGAAGGTATCCGGGTGGCGACTAACCGACTCTCGACTAACGTACATATGTGACGAAGACGAACAAACCGGGTCGACTCGGGCTTGGTTGGGTGAACTCGACGAGTGAAAGAGATGAACAGAGTCAATAGGGTACTACTAATTTCAATCGTCTTTTAATGATTCGATCGATATATGAACTCTTTATATTAAAAAAAAATATAAAATCAAGCAATAATAAACAAATTCACTGGTAGTATACAGGGTGTCCCGTAAGTAATGGTCCAACCGTAAACCCTAGGTAGTTCACTTGATTGCCTACAACTAATTTGAACCGTTTTTTGAAATTCATTAGGGTTGCCAAAAAAAATGATAAAATGTTTTTTTTTTCAATATTTCTGTCTTGAATTGGTTTTTTTAAGGGCATTGACGCAAATATTAAAAATTTTCAAATTTTTTTTCGCTAAAATGTAGCTAGATAGATTGCCTATCAACTTGTTTATCACATTTGCATAATGACATTGTATTTCTCTCAAAAATATTGAAGTAACAACATTTTATTGTATTTTATTTGGATGACCTAAATTGAAAAGCTCCTAATGTAAAAAAAAAGTATGACACCAAAGTGTTCCATTATTTTAAAAACATGTGCATTAAGTAAGGTTTCAAAATTGGTATAAAACTTATGGTTAACTAGTAAAGTTGCAAACATAATACAATGAATCCGAAGAAGAGGCAAATATCTTAAAAAATATAATTAAATTTAATTAGTGTCTAGTTGTGCATTTTTTCATTATTAGGAATGTTTTAACGACACTACGCGCACAGTACACAAGATTAGTACTTTGATCATACTAGCCCTCGAATCGACGCACGCACACAGACAAATAATGTCATTTACACGGCCGCTAACCAATCTTGGCAAGACAAATCTACGCAGTGCCACGTCGCGCGCCGCCGAGACTGGTGTGAATTTGGACTTTACGAATTACCTATCGAATTTGGACTGTTTGTTTTTTATAGAGTTAACGACTTGGCGAGTCTATTGGACTCCGAAAATCTGTTTGTTTGGGGTTGTTGAATCTCTGAACTTTGCAATGCCTCGCAAGTGTACACACCTCGTGAATATGCTATGATGCATTACACCTATGGAGAAGCAAGAGGTAATGTCAGAGAAGCTGCAAGATTGTACCGAGAAATGTACCCGAATTTGCGTCACCCTGACCACCGAATTTTTGCTTAGAGTGCATAACTCGCTACTTGATGGAAGGATTCTTGGTACTGGAGTTGGTGTCGGTGAAGGAAGACCACAGCAAGTCAATGACGAAATAATTTTGCAACAAGTACAAGAAGATGCATCAACGTCAGTTCGAACTATAGCACGACGTTCTGGAATACCTAGAGCATCGGTGCACAGGGTTTTAAAAAGATACCGTTTGCACCCGTTCCATCTACAACGTGTACAAGGAGGAGCAGAATGTGCATAGCTGTAGGCGGAAGGCAATTTGAGCATTTATTATAAAATTATAACGGTTTTTTGCTTTTATTTCTAAAGACCTTATTTTACCCGTCGTTTACACAAATAAGTGCCATAAAAGCTAATATCAGTGTAATCATCAAAAAAAATGGGAGAATAAACAAAAAAAATGAGTCAAGTTTTTTTTTTGGTTAAGTTCTCCCTTTTCAGGGAAGGCAAGGGAAACAATGCCCATACAGCCTAGTCTTAAGTTAAATTATTCTGTTTTTCTTTTTACATTAGAATGTCGGTGTGACGCATTCTAATGTTTCTTGAAGTGTTTGGCGCGAAATGTATCGAGCTGGCTTTTTTGATAAGCTTCTGTGAGGTAGTCAATACTACAATAAAATTCTCACGTCCACTTGATCGGAATAACGTATATTTTGACGATTCTACTAATTCTTCAGTTACGCAGACAGTTGCAACACAAAATCACTGGAGCCGGTGTCTTCTCAAACGACCTGAATATAAAAATATCTACAACCTTAGGCAAACAAAGCACAATCTTCCAGACGGAATGTATTGGCATTACCAGAGCGGCACAGGCGGTTGCAGCCAGAGATGTCAGAGAGTATATAACATCAAGATCATCTCTGACAGTGCATCCGTGCTTCCAGCCCTACGTAGCAACACAATAAACTCTGTCCTAGTAATGGAATGCCACAAGGCAGTTCAATCCATTGCGGTTAGCAACATGGTAACTCTGCAATGGATAAAAGGACACAGCAGCTCAATTGGAAATGACGCAGCAGACAAACTGGCTGAGAGGGGAGCAGACACAAAGGCGTATGGTCCGAAACCTTTGCTGCCCATACCTCATGCCCAAATTAAAACGTGGCTGCGTGAAATAACTCAGAAATCACACTTGACGGAGTGGGAAACAGGTGAAGGATGCCGGCAAACGAAAAACGCGGTTCCGGCGGTAAATAAAAGTTTTGCCCGCACCCTTACCAGACTAAATAGGGACAAACTTCGCAGGATTATAGGATCCCTGACTGGTCATTGTCCCCTAAACAAACACCTATATACAATAGGATTTACAGACAGCCCCCTATGCAGAGGATGCATGGAGGCAGAAGAAACGCCACAGCATGTCATCATGGAATGCAGGAGTGTGGCCGACCAACGGGCACGACTTCTCCAGTCACCAGAATCGTTTCCGGAAGCTTGCAGCAGTCTACCAAGGCTGCTTTCCTTCTGGCTGGCTGGCTGGCTGGAGTAAACGGGAATGTTTTTGAGACACGCACAATGGTCCAATAATTAGGACTAAGTGCGGAAACCGCCCTGAAGAACTAACTAACATAAAATCACACCAATTTTATTTCACAATATCCACTATAAACGAATTTAAGAACAATTAAAATAAGACGCCAACCACACTCGATGAAATCCCGCCAAAAACTCCTTTTGGAACGAAGTTCCTTATCGCGCGTTGTGGATATTTGTGAAGTTATATCAAGCTGTGGACCAGTAACGCCTGTGAGACATGATTATGATTACAAGGTGAGTACTCAGGAGGTGGCAGAGCGACGGGGGTGCATCACTGGATTATTGTGACATTGTAGTTTATTCTAAACTGTGGGCCAGTCCTGCCTAGCATCCTTTACGAACGCTAGCGGGACATGATAATAAGGTGCGTATGTAGGGGGTGGCACAGCTACGAGGGTGCAGCACTGGAATATTGTGACATTACACGAAATCTGGATATTTGTGACGTTTTACCGAGCTGTGGACCAGGAACGCCTGTCATCTGCTGTAAACTTAAGCTAGACATGATAAGAAGGTCAATACTTAACAGGGGGTGACAGAGCGACGGGGGTGCAACCCCAAATTATTGTGGCATTATACCAACACTGGATTATTGTCGTATATTATACTAAACTGTGGTTAAGTCCAGGGGGGTGGCAGAGCGACGGGGCTGCATTACTGGATTATTGTGACATTGTAGTTTATTATAAACTGTGGGCCAGTCATGCCTAGCAATCTTTACGAACACTAGCTGACCGAACTGAAAAAATGTGATAGTAAAACCGTAAGAAAAAATCCGTGGAAAAAAGTGCGTGGAATAAAACCGTTAAATGCGCATTAGCCGAAGGAACTTCGTTCCTACATGGTGTCCCACGACACCACATCATTTCTTTTTTAAAAAACGAACGACACGAACGACCGTTTAAAATCGTCAAGTAACAAATAAAACATGTTTAAACAGTTGAAGCTTTGTTTTATTTAGGTATTACCAATTTCTTAATTTAAAACCAAGTATGTGAACTTGTTTATTATACCAAACAACTAATATTTTCACATGTGTTTGTAGGTTATTAGATTTGGACATGATTGGGACCCAACTTGTATGAAAATGGATGAAGTTCTGTACAGCATAGCAGAGAAAGTAAAAAACTTTGCTATCATATATCTCGTTGACATTTTATATTAGTCTTTGGCCAGACTTCAACAAAATGTAAAGTAGGTA